ATCTGAAGATAATTTGATGATATGGGCCCTACCATGATCTCCAGTCTCATGAATGCGGCAATACTCGGGAGAAAATTCAGCGTTCCCACCCAGCTGACAGATCTTCCTTAGTGGAAGAGGTAGCGTCAGTTCGCTCAATTTCCTTAAAAAGATCCACAAAACTACCAGACAAATTTGCCAGCAATGGCCCTTCACTATCATAATTCTATTTGTTGTTGCTTACCTTGGCTGATTGTTGTAATTAACTGCTACGATCGTTCCTGTGCGCTCTGCTGATTATAAGGAACTAATCAACAGTAGAGGTTGGCACTTGATGGAGTAGTTGCAGGTATCGTGGGTGGTCAGCACCTTCCCAGATTCATCTGCCGCTCCTCTGGTGATGATGTCCCGTACTTCAATAGACAAACAGACTCCTTTAATTCGTCGCATATCTGGTGTTGGATAACCTACCCAAAACAAAATTGCTTATTGTGTGTTTGTTCTTCAAGTGGTAGGACTTCACCAGTAAGGAGTCACTAAACCGGCGAAGATAAAAGGACGCCGCGCACCCGGTACAGCGTGTGGTGAACTTCATAAAAAATACCCACCAAGCTTACTAGATGTGACAGATTCGTCTAACTTGACTGTTTCTGCTGAGGCGCGTACTGTAACGACAGAGAACTTTTTGTAGATAAGCCGCAAATGGCAGATTCTTTTTGAGTTTACGCGGACTAGAGCGACACAATTATTGTTCGCGTACTGCTTCAAAACATTTTCAGATGCAATAAGGTAGAAAAACAAAAAGAAACGAACTTCTCTTCAATATCTTCCTCCGTCTCCACAGAGTGATCGCGCTGAGCCATGGCAGCCATTAAAAACAAGAGTTCCACGTCCACATTAGAAGTTGATTACTTTGAAACGAAATTTAACAAAATTGTGACTGTTTGGGAAGTCTTAGGTCATCGGATAAATACCGTCAAATGCTCAAACTTTACATGGAAGTTTCCTTTGTTCAAGATGTAGTTTCAGAAACATTTTCGGCATGCGTCTAAGGATCAGCGAGAACAGTTTATGGAAGATGTCAAATAAAACTTGTGGTCAGTGTTTGATTCTACAAATGGCTTTTTGCCCACAGATTGGCCCTGAAAATATCAGTCACATCACCGTCACTCTGTAAAGCCGCAGATAAGTAGATATCGATCTACCAATATAACAGTTCGCTTTTCCCCCATGACCTACTGTGATGGGTCTTTGTACATAGGTCTGTGATATCAAGTCGTTATAAGTGAGTGTGTCTGATCTCAATCCGTTCCAACCCGCACAAATCGCGCCACTCAAAACCCAGCGCTTGAACTAGCTGTTTAGAATTACCAATGCACTACCGGTCCCATTGAATCAAACCACTTGCTGAAGTACCACCAGCTGGTTTGAAAGTGTAAAGCACAGCACGACGCTTTACAAGAATTTGAAAGTTAATGGATGCCTTTCAGTCAAGGCCACCGAAAAGTCTCCGGCGATAGAGTGAAATCCTTAACTGCTTCATCGTATCGGGTGAAAACCAAACTTTTTTGTCACGCATTCGATTGTAAATTTTGGTTCAGCTAATGAAAGGTGCAGTTGTCGTTATTGCAAAATGGATATTTTGTCCGGCAGTCCCTGAATTATCAAGTTAAATAAATTCATCGATGGTGGTCAAGAGGACCCGTTCGTTTTGATTGCCGTCTCAGAAATAACCGTAAGCCGACTAAAGGTAAACTCATCAGCTTGCGCAGTCCGGATCTAATAAGCGACTGGCCTAAATTTTACCACACAGAAGCATAGTCGGGATCACAAAGTGGCATACTAGACCCATGGATATAGAAACACCTAAAAGCCCAAGTTATGCTGACTAGATGGTGGAAATTCTCAAAGGCACTTACTCAGTCTCCCTATGTTCTTTACCTTCTTATCCACATTAACGATATACATTTTCGACTTGCTGTATCAATTAGGGTAGTATTTCTTCATTTTATCATTCACTTTTAAGGGCTTCTTTTACCCAGGCACTTTTTGGGTCGACAGGCGTCTTTGGGTGGACTTTGATCAAGACAGTGTCATCCAAATCGCATATCTGTCAAATGTTGCTATAGCCTAAACTGGGAGCATAATTGTACATTTCCTGTGCAAGTAGCTTAGCTTTGCAAGTGGTGAGCTCAGCAGTTAAACTTGCTCTTCATGATTAGGATGATATAATGGGATTGGTGTACTTTGTGGGGAGTGGAATTGGAAAATCGTAAACATGCGCCCGATAAACCCCGTCTGATTTGAATCCGCGGGCATCGGTTGTACATGGAAATATGTTGAAGATTATCGTTCAGATCAGTAGTTGTGTGATACAACTGTTGTTCCGCCAGCATTCATCCTGTCGGGAAAATCTCTAAAAGAAAGCATTCACTACTTTTTAGAACAACAAACGTTTCACTACCGAACGTTCCTGAAATACGACGCCCCAATACAAGCATTTTATGTGAACGGACTTTACTGAGTAGTACTGATCCACTCAGATGCATGTTAAGCATCAAGTCTCTATAGATTACTTGGCAAGAGCCGTATAACAGAACAATGAAAATAAACAACACATTTCCTTAACATTACCTCGGTGCATGGTGCTTTGGCTAAACCTGTGCTGTTTTGAAGATCTTGCGCAAAGACTAATTTTAATCGTGCACTCAGTCGGGTACAGCGGTCTTAGGTTGCGCAGTATGCATTTTCTTGGTTGTATCATTCCTCTGACAACTGGGACCTGGAAAGAGGCCGTGAATATTGAAAACTTTGCGTAGTTGTGTGTGACTCAACCGCCAACATCTGATTGACCACCAAGACCAGCCCACTGCAAAACCGACTCCTATTCACAATCTTCCTTCAGCGGCGAGCATATTGATAAGGTCATCTGACAACCTGCTCTCGTGGTCCACTACTTTAGCACTCCATAATGAGCGGGCTTAATCACGTTTGGCAGGTACTTTTGACCGGAAGCTTGCATGCAAGCGTACCCAGATTCGTATTATTGGAACACTAAAGGGCCTCGGAATTCAGCAGACCGAGCCATTTGCCGACCTATCAACAACAGGTCAGCCCGTCTAGAATACTGTGTGATATTCTGAAAAAAAACAACCATGGATGAATATGCTCGATTGCAGGTCAAAGCAAAACGATCCGTCATCTATCTGAGCAGAACTTTCTTTTCAACTACTTTCTTAGTTGAAAAAAAATTGTACCAATTCAATAGCACTCTGATGTGTGCTTCAAAATATCCATCGATGATGACATTTTGCGCTCTACAGCAGTAGTTGTAGCACAACACTTGTCATGTATTGCAACTGTCAGCAGATCAATTCATGGCATTTGCCGGATCGTAATATGCACGTGAGGCTTACGGAAGCATCATACTGTTTTTCTTTGGAGTAACGTGGAAAAAAGTTTGGCAGAATGATGCCAAGAGTTCGATTTTTCCTGATCAGGTAACCTTTCTGGTTCAATAATACAAATATAGGCATAGATCACTAAGCGGAAGATCCGTTTACCCGCATTTGCGTGGCGCTAAAGGCCGAGCTATTTATTAGTCTGACTTCCGTTTGACTGCTGAGAAACAACCTATACGGTTGCACTTTCGTTTGGCCAGCCTTATGCCAAATGAACCGGAGCTATTCTAGATGCATAAATTTTTGGTCTTACAAATATTATTGTAATGTGGTTCTTGATTCCAGTGCTTATGACAAAGTACGATGAAACTATTTATTTCTCGGCATTTCGTAAAGCCTTTTTATATCTTGGTGAATGGTTCTAACCCTTATTTTGTTTAGTATTCTTGAGAGTTGATTTTAGTCCATTCAAGAGCTTTGCTTGCTTTCAGACACAAAATAGGCACATTATGGAAAGGATGCTGCGTTCAGTGGGTTTTGATGACCTGGGTCAAACTCACCAGATTTCAATATTCAGTATTCTTCTTTCCAAAGTTCTCTGCTTCATGAGTCACCTTTGTATACATGCTGCTGATCTAGAGTTTTATGAATAGATATAATTCCAAACCAGCCGTTGAGCTAATTTTCCTAAATGCGAGACTTCGCTACGTTCCGTACACTATATTGTTTTGTGATAGTGGTGCCCGATTAAAAAACGGAACTATGCCAAAATTGCCGATTGCTATGAAATCTTTGGGTCTTTCTCCAACCGCGAAGTTGTGAACCCGACTCCTGTAAGGTATTGCAGTCCATTCATTCTCTGTAAAACCGTCTCGCTCAACGTTATGCATACTCAATTGAATATCTGTTTCCGACTTGTTGTCTTCCAAGGGTGATCATTAAGAAAGCGACCACGCCATTTTTGGCACTTACTTCCTCATATATCATTCAGTTTTAAGGTTTCGTCAGTTTTTCTTTGTTTTCCCATTACTGGCTGCCCAATTAGAAGATGCGTTGTGAATCGTTCCAAACGGTTTGCAATGAAAACGGGCTCTGAGCCGAAAGTTTCAGTTTCACTCGATAGTTTCCTAACTGCAATCCCGTTGTTCTCAGGCAGACTTCTGCGTCTTTTGTAATTTACTTATTGGCTCTCATTGTGTCTCTCAGTATGCGCTTCGTTTCATCCCGGTATGATGCAACTAACGTACTTTGTAACGCGTTAAGTATCTGGTCGTTTGCACACCAGAGAAAACGCTCAGCGGAAACATACTAATAGCACCCTCATTCGGTTGAACATGTTCAAACTTCCTGTAGATGGAGGTATCTGAGGACTTTGTACCAGGAGCTACTGCCACCCTACGATTGTCACTAGATGATAATCGGCGGATCTTAGCATGCGCGTGTGGCATAAGGACAGCATTTTTCCGTTCATTTCTTCTTAGGTAGCACAACAGTGCGCAAATATTTCACACGATGGTGTCGAGTGATTGAGTTCTCTTACCTAGAAAATTCCTCGGTTAAGTAACACGAATGCACGTTCAGTTCGTGAGGCGGTGGGTTCTTTCCCCCCTTGTACCTTCGATGAAATTTCTCACGGGCACCCGTCCGGCTGTTTATTTACTTGATTTATTTTTAAACACGAGGTAAGTAGCCCTTAGCTTTGGGTTTCATCTTGCAGATCATCATCTTTGTGTCAAAAATTTGGATGAATTGGGCATCCACTGGTGATGATCGTCTCAGTTTAACTGAGGGTATTGTATTTCCGCCGGACAATTAACACCCGTGATTACAAGCCACGGAGCAATCCTCCTGTAGCAGAGCACGTTGTTCATAAATAGATTTCTTAATAAAAACCACATCAATATAGCAAGCAGTTACCCACCAAACATGGCATAAAATCTGGATACCCTGAAGTACTCTTTGATTTAAACTCCTAGAATTTAAATTTAAGTTTAAATTTAAACTCCTAGAATAATCGCATTATATTCAATGTATAAACAACCTTTCAAAACGTCTAATGGAGGAGCCAACTGGACTGTATCTGAGATTCGCAGTGCTTATACTAAAGAGGGACTTATTTTTTCTTTGGTGATGATGAACGAGTGTGGACCCGTAAATTCATGTTGTTTGGACCCTATGTCTTTCATTCTACTTTGTGATTCTGCTTGATATCAGCCCTTTCCACACCTCCACGCTAACCCGTTTTCGTTCAAAAACATTTGGGTGCCTAGCCGACGAAAACATCTTACGATAAAACAAGGTGGTACAAAACAAAGTTGAATAATACGACAAGAAATTTGACAAGTGGAAGGGAATAACTTGTAGTTCGTTTGATGATACAGAAAATTTTACTGGTAAGTAGGCAGAGAGATCAGTAGCTCTACTCAGAAAGAATGACCACCTGATTATCTGTTGTGACGCTGTAGTAACAGGTCTGCAAACATCTAGTTATCGTGTGGGGGGGCATCGCCAGTGAGCGGTTGAATATTTAACCGTGAACTGGATAATTCCCCTCGAATTGTGACAAAACGAATGTAACTCAATTACTAATTTTGACGATCAGATCAACTGCAACCTGATCAACAGCCACCAGACTTATTGGAGCTACGTAGGTTCAGATATATTTTCAGAATTTGTGTTTTCAGACTAGAAATCATTTAAGCTTGCCCACGAAAGAGTTAGGAAAATACACTCACAATGGCTTCATCATTCATTCACAGAATTAATTGTAATAGTCAGAACACAAATGACGAATATTGGTGTTTTCATTACCTCTCATTCTTATCAATGCAGGTCGAGGGAGAATTGAACTAAAAGCTAGTGATCCATATAAGCAAACCGAGAATAAAGTAGAGTAATGGGGTGAAATTGTGAAAACTGCTTTTGTCGCGATCGATTGGCCTCAGTGGACATGGGTCACTTGAGCAGACTGTTGAAGATTCAGTACGTCTACAACCGCTTTCTGAGTGTACAAACTCATGTTGTGTGGGCGAATCGCGCTTGCCTAGGCTGTAGTCAGACACGGGCGAATCGCGATTGCCTAGGCTGTAGTCCGACATTGATACTGAACGGATCTTAATAGGTAAATCGCTTGGTACAGAGTTCGCAAAGCTTTTGTGGAGTCACTCACATCACTCGTGTTAACCAAGTGGCGACAACTTCGCTCGTAATAGACCTTGATCCGGTTATCAGCCAAAAGGTGTCATGCTCTTTTATTCTATTGCACAACTGTCACGTCGAACCCACTATATTTTCTGCTGTACAACAGCAGGACTGATTAAACCCACAAGATTCTAGCATGGCCCAA